TAGAGATGAAGGGCACATTGAGATCTTTGATTCAAAGACTGTGGCTCCTTCACTTTCTCTGACATAGAAATCCTATTCATGCCCCACTTCCTCCTGCAAATCACTTAGGTACAATATGACAATGCAGCAGATACACAAGGACTTTTCCCACATCACACTACAAACACAGCCACCCTCTCCGGGGAACATAAGAGAAACTTTTGGGCTTCCACTTCCCCTCCATTTGTTTGAAGGATCAAGAGAACACAGTTCCATTTTCAACAAAAATTAAAAAGGAAAATCATGAAAAGAGCCAACCTCCTCTTTTTTTTTTTGTTTCTCCCTTAATATATTGTTGCATCCAGGGAAGAGGAAACAGTGAGCGCCACTGATACTGAGTCCCCAGGGACCCCATAAGGGTTACTCCCCATCTATCACAGGAGCATGTCTTCCTCCATTTGCAGAGGGAGTTTATAATGGGCGTGGTGGTTACTCTTGGCTCTCTTCTGATGTGCAAAAAAGGAAAAAGAGAAGGAAAGAAAGAAATGCCACAGTGCTTCAGGGACCCAGGCTGGGTTCACACCTGGACTTTCACAGGGCAAGGAGTTTTTAAGTTTAAGGTGCTGGAGATTGGAGGACTCTTAGCCCTGTTCCCGCTGCTCTCTGCAAGTTGGCTAAGGACTGTGTGTTCCCAAGGGCAAGAACAAATTCCTTCCACATGTTTTCTTTCTTCCTTTCTTTCTTGTTTCTTAAGGTGATAGCAGTGGTGCTATGGGCTGATTGACTTTAAGACTTAAAATATGACAATATCTGTTTTTTTCTGCACTGTTGCTAAGTAAGATGGGTCCTGTATCAATTTTTCCAGATCACTGGCCTGTCACCATTTGAGAACTAATTTTTTTTTTACAGTGGAAATGCAGTTGGACTGCATTTGTTAATACATGTGGTAAGAATGATTAATTCTCCTTTGACAATGCAAACTTATGATCAGGAACATATTATTTTGCTGGCCGGATCGGAGATGTCCTCAGGAGCTGTGCAGATGAACAGGACTCTTTTGCAACCTCACTTTTTGGTGTTGGAGTCCCAGCCTCTTTCCACTGCTATTCTGATTTTCTGTGTGTGTTTTTCTCCCCTTCTGCTATTTCTTCCCAGCATCTGTGTCTGAGAAACTACTGCCTTCCTCCGTCTCAACCCTTTACTTCTTCACCAGTTGTAACTTAGAACCAAATTGAGAGAAACCAGATGGACTTAGTAAGTATATTTCTTAGTAAGTATGCACTCCTGCCAACCAAGTAGAGAGCATGGATATTATAAGAGATATAAATATCTAATTGATCCCTTTAGTCATTATGAGAGGAGCTGAGTTTCATATCAAGTGGCATTTTATTTTGTACTTAGAAAACTATGCATTTTATCTTCTTGTTAAATTTTGCCTTGGGTATTATAAGTCCATTGAATCTCCAAAGCAGATTTTTGACCCATTAATTTCTAAATTCTATGCTACATCCTTATCCAGGCCAATATTACCTCTCACAACATATTAAAACTGCATCTTCATTGTCTGCAAGGATCATTCTGACTTCCTTCCAACCCATTTTCTACACTATAGCCAGAATGAACTTTCAAAAATGTGAGTCTCAAAAAAAAAAAAAAAAAATGTGAGTCTCATTTTTTTTTACTTCCTTGCTCTACAGTTTTCCTTGGAAGTCTCATTGGGTATCACAATCTCTTTCCTGTTGTTAATGCTCCTTGACTGCTCCTTTATACCACAGGAGCTTTGCACAAGTGGTATATTCTGCCTGGAATGTTCTTCCTTCTTCTTATGGCTGGTTCCTTCTAACTTTCAGTTCTCAGATTAAATGGCACTTACTCAGAATGTTAATTCCTGACCATTTCACTTAAAGTAGTATTTACTGTTTTTCTCTGTCTGGGGTAGAGTTACATGATTGACATATGGCAGTGAACAAAAAGTGTGAAAATCTTTGAATCACATGTTAATATTCATCCCAGAAGAGACATCCAGTAGTAACCTGCAAGACAACATGACCTTGCCATTTGACCTTATCCAGCGTCTGTCAATAGCTATCCCAGTGCTGTAACAAGGAATGAAATACAACAGCAGCAGAAAGGGTGATGACATATGAGTTCAACAGCATGAGCTGCATTTACCATGGTTGGTCTAGTTGCTGCCATTACTGAATATCCAATGTGCTGATCATGGGGATTGATGCTGAGCTTCCACCATGATGCCATTACTCAGGAAGAGCCAACAATCCCTTGGTGAAATGTTGACTCTATCAGCTCCCAAAAGGCCAGCAGTGCACTGACACAGGAATAGAGAGGTATTCTGGGTATAAATGTGTCTTTGCTGCTTGTAAGAATTTAGCCAGAGCTGTACAAGTGGGGGAGGGGGGCTTTGGAGTGTTTGTTCTACTGGAACAGAATCCTACAGAACATCACATCAAACCATGAGCTTTGCTTTATAGTAAATGAGGTGTGGAGATGGGTTCATAGCCAAAGAATCTACTGGTCATATCACATGTGTACCACTTAGAGGTGGCCAGCACCCAAGAGTGCTTCTTGGATGAAATACTCTGGATGGATGGCCATCTTCCAGTATATATTGAATCAAAAATTTCTATGGTCCCAAATCCTCAATAGGAAGCCTGCATGGGTCCTGAGTCCAACAGTGGAAACAGGAATGTCCCCCACACTATCACTCCTGATGACACACTGGGAATTTGTATTTCTTATCCCTTTAACTCTGGGCTATGCCGGGTTAGAAGTTTTCAACCTCAAAGAGATTACACTTTCATCTGAGGACATAACAGAAGTATCATTGATAAAAACTAGGGCTGTCACCTAGCCAATTTTGTTCCATGTCTCCAGAGGCCAGCAGACAAGGAGAGGAGTAGCTATCTTGGCAGGGGTAATTGACCTGATCACCAGGTAGAAGTTAGGACTGTTCTTACACAATGTCAGGGAAGAATGATTTGGAAACTGGGTGACCACTGGATTTTTTTTTTTTAATTTTTACTTGACTTATGATTAGAAATGAACAAGTGCAGTAATCCTATTCTGCAAAAGGTATGTGCCTTAATCAGTTTAAGCTGCTATAACAAAATATCACAGGCCTGGTAGCTTAAACAGCATCCATTTGTTTCTGACAGTTCTGGAGGCTGGGAAGTACCAGATCAAGATGCAGTCAGATTTAGTGTCTGATTAGGGCTTATTTCCTGGCTTCCAGACATCTACATTGTCCCATGGTGGAGAGACACAGGTTTTTATCTTCTCTTTTTGTAAGGTCACTAATCCCAGTAAGAGGCCCCCACTCTCATAACTTTATCTAAATCTCATCACATCCCCAAATCCCACTTTCAAATACTATCACATTGGGGAGTCATAGTTTCAACATGAATTTTGGAAGAACACAAAGCATTTAGTTCATAGGGCTCTTGCGGGGTAAGGTAGAAATCTAAGCCATTGAGACTGGCAGTGGTGGTATCTCATGCTGAAGGGAATCTAGACTGGGTATCCTTGTCTGTTTTCTGTTACTATAACAGAATGCCTGAGACTGGATGATCTATAAAGAAGAGGTCCATTTGGATCCCTAGACTCATTGCAGCTGTGGGGGATGAAGTTTGTCCTAACCCTCTTCTTCCATCAGGGAGAGAGGCCCACCAGAACCCTACTGGAGAGGCTCTGTGAATCTAGGTGAAGAAATGGGCTAGAGATTGCCAGGGGTGGAACCACTGTATCTGTGGGAGACGCAGAGAAGAGCCACCTGGTCTCTCTCCAAGGAAGGCTTTGCACCGGCAAGGGGAGTGCAATCAGTCACCAGTCCCCAGCTGCCAGTAATAGGGGGTGGACCCCAGCTGTGGAGGGCATACTCTGACCTGGGCAGCCCACCTCTGGTGACTGAGCAGGGCAGGGGTGTAAAGGCCTGAAATTTTCTGCCATGCCTGGCACAACCCTGATGGGAAGTCTTAGCTCCAGAGCTGCATCCCAGTGGCTGAGGCTCAGTCAGAACTTCACCACAGTTTTTTCCTCTCTTGGCTCCATTTCCTTTCTTTTTTGCCAGTGTTAATCTTTAATAAATATCTTGTACCCAAATTTATCTCAGCAGCTGCTTCCAGAACACTGATCCTGCATCAGGCGGAGTGCTTGGAGGCAAGGTAGATGTTCATTTCCTAAGTAATTTGGGGCTAGTTATTTTACTTTTCTGAACTTCCATTCCCTCATTTGCAAAATAGGGATAATGTCTGCCTTGTGGGGTTGCGAGGCTTAAATGAAATTGAGCGTGTGAATCACCTGGCACAGTGCTTGGCATTTAATTACCTGTGTTCAGTATGTGTTGAAGTTTTACTGTTGTTTTAAAGAAACGTCCTCAGAAATGGACAATCTCCCATGCTAACATAGCTTTGTGACTTTTCTTTCGAGAAGGGAGAACTGAGCATGCGGGTTTTTGGTTATGTTGTTGGTAGTCATGGTGCCTGATTCTGTAGAATGAACTATGAGCCAGAACAATCCTATGAGGAGGGTCCACTTCCCAGTGCCATTCTACAGACAAGGAAACTGAAGACACAGAGAGGTTTGTGAACTGGTCTCAGATCCCAGATATTGGAAGAGGGATAGTAAGACTTGGAACCCAGGCAGGCTGGGTCCAGAATCAGTGCTGTGCTCACTGGAGTCTACTGATTCTTGGTTGAACTTCATTTTATAAAGAACCTGAGGCAGAATGAGGTAATCCTGTCTCCACTTGCCTGTGACAGCCCTCCAGAGTAAATCTTTCTGAATGGGTACGAGGAAAAGGATGGGAAGTGGTCATCTAACTGAAGAGGGGCTAAGGTGCATTAATCCTTTCTGCAGCCCTGAGAGAGGGAGATTTCAAGACCCTTCTCTCCCTGGGTTGAGAAGCTAATGACTGAGGAGCTAACTCTGGCAAAGTGAGATGCCGGAATGAGATGTTTACAATGGCAGCTTCCTCGCAGAATTTCACATATATACAAATAATTGACTCAGTTTTTTCAACATGTCTTTATTTGCTTAAATTAACAAAATATAGGTTACATGCTATTTCTAGGTAAACTGCCTTTTCACTGAAGCAGAAAGCAATATTCACAAACTTGGGCTGCTCAACACTTGGAGTTTTAGTTTTTAAACAGCAAGCCTGAATTCTGTACAAAATCAACATTTGGTGTGATGTTGTCCAAATATGCAAAGGATTTTAAATGTTAGCTCTGTTACATTTTGTTCCAGCAAAGCAGACAAAGATCATAATTCAAAACACAATGTTAATATTTTATTAAAAGCCTTCAGGGCTTAATAAATACAGTATGCATGTTGGGTTTTCTCATGCAACTACTCATATACAAAATAAACTAGTTACTTTTTGTGGATTTATGAAAGGTCAGCTTTAGTCTCATGGCCAATGTGGAATCAAATTTTTAGAAAGAGAAAATGAAAAGAGGGACTACAACGCAACAAGAGGGGCAGTCACAGACTTGAATACAGAGGATGAAAGACCTGCCACCTGGCTGGGTCATTGGTTGGTTCAAAGTGACAGTGGTCAAAAGCCTGGAAAGCATTTGGTCATGTCCCATTTTTAGAGTTTCACAATGTGATGAAGGTCATGGCCTTGGGATGGTGGTAACCTTGGATGACATCATTCCTTCATTCTCTGGGGATGGCCCCAGTGGGCCTTCCTTCAGACCTGCATTCTGGTTAGTCAGCTCAACAGGCAAGGCTGGCCAACCCTTTCTTTAGCTCTGTGTTCATTCACCAGGTGCTCATGTAAGGTATCATATAAGCTGGGATACTTTTGAGGATTAAGGGACACTGTTAGTAATTACCCCGGGACAGGAGATATAAACCAGAATCATCCCAGGAAAAACCAGGATGTTGGTTACAACCAAGATTTCAGCCTTGGCTCTCAGAGGGCCAGTGCTGTAGTACTCATCGGCTTCATTAAGTCTCTCGTATCCAAAGTCAAAAACTAAAAACAGGCCTTGGAACACACCCCATCATAAATTTTTCTTACCTTCCTGAGACCTTTTTTCTCCTGCCAAATGAAACTTTTCTTAGAATATTAACATTCAAAACAGACAAAATTTGAGCCACTTTGAGTGAAGCAGGTGTGGGGACTAAGAGCTTCTCCCCTAGTGGCTCTACAGAGGCCTGAGAGAGACCTTTGACTTCTCAAAACAACTTGAAGACCACTCTTCTAGACCATACTCTCTCCAACTCAACATTAACGGGTTCCTCAAGCATTCCCACAGGATTTGTTTTGGTTGGAAAGGACTAGAGTGTGCTCCTCTAGATTTTCCTGGCTGCTTTTCCAGCTGGGCATATCGGAAGCAACTGAAAGTCTGCAGCACGTGTGGTCAGGCACTGCACATAGTAGGTCTTTAATACAAGGTTGCTGAGTGAATACACATGTAACAGGACCTTAAGGGCTGGGGGTGTCACAGACCACTCTGCCCGCTCCCTGGACAATTTCATCAAAGGCACCGATGAACAGCATTCCTAGGGAATGAAAGAGAACTGGTCCCTCTGAGGACTTGGAATAATTTTTGGCCCAGAGTTGTGCTGGTGGATGTAGAAACCCACAGTATGCTCTCTACCATCCTCTCAGTGGGTTCCATGGAACATGGGTGGCAGTAAGAAACCCAAACTTTAGCACTTCCCAGCGGTGGTGATGCTAAAGGAAGGAAATTTAGGAAGGTGACAGTAGAAATGGATCAGGGATCCCACAGGTCAATGGTGGGGACTAGATGAGGCTAACAGGGAAGAACCATGGCCCATAGAAAAAGCCAGCCTCCAGCCCCTGGAGATGAACTAGCTCTTCAAAAGAAATGTACTGGGGAGTTTGGGAGGAGAGGAAGCAGTAACCAGCAGTACCTAGCTCTACAAATAAAAACTGAAACTCCCAATCCGGAGGCAGTGTTCATGTGCACACGAACACAGACAGTACCTACCAGGGTCAGAGTTGAACATACACAGCCCTATCAGTATTGCTCTACTCAGTGCCAGTGCTTAACTAAAGCCCATGGGCCAGGCCCAACCTGCCATCTAGGTCCTCCGTGCTGGCGGGAGTTGTGGTGCCAGAACCTAACAAGAGCAATGAGTCACTGTCAACATAAAAAGTGACCATGAACAACACAGGCATCTCCTAGTACAAAAAGCGTGTATCCGTATAGAGTATGTGTGTCTCCTTGTGAGGATCTTCCAGAACAGGTACAAAAACCTGAGTCAGCATCATGATTACAGGTATCCTGACCTCCACCTCAATGAGTCTGAAGCCAGGGACAGAAATATTTGTGGAGTCCCTGGGAGGGAGCCCTGGTAGTCACAGAAATGGATGAGGGTTATCAAAGCCCAGTGAATCCTTCTCAATCCTGGCTGTGCATACCCCACTCAGGGTAATCTGGAAATGACCAGAGCAAAGGCTCCATTCCGAACCAATTAAATCAGAATCCTGGGATGGGGCATTGAGACCCTGGCATTAGTATTTTTTAACATGCTCCTCCAGATGTGCATTGAGAACATAGCCCAGGTCTTCCTTATAGTGATTAGCTGATGATTGTTCTAATACCCTGAATAAGTCAGGACTTGTTTCAGGGAGAATTCCCCACCCACTCCCTACCTCCAGCACTGGGGAGAGGTCCATTGCTCACTGCCAACAAGTCTCTCTGCAGCTTTTTTTATGGGGCATGGGGCCACAGAGCAATGGTCTCCAGAAGGGAGCTGTGCTTTGGACACCAGAGGTTAGTCTGAGGAAACGGGACCCCCTGAGCATTGTCCAGTCATCTGCAAATATGTTTCAAATGCCCCATCTGATGAGCCAAAGCAGGACAAAAGATCCAGAAGGAATCCAGAAGCATGGCTGATTTTCCCTTCATCAAAACTACTCATCTTTTTCTGAAGTTTCATCTTTTATCTATAGCAACTACTTGAGAATATCCTTTTCAAAAGCTCACCCTTCTGTGTTATTTCTGGTATTTCTGATTATTTAACAAAGACTATTTTTATATATACAGCTATATATTTCTGGAAAAATATTATCACTTTCATGAACTCGACTAGATAGTTATTAATAAGGTAACTCATCAAGCACCATAGTTTTGCAACTAGAAGGAAATTTACCATGTATTGCATATTAGTAAAAGAAAAACAGAATTTCTGAAAGCACCTCAGGTTCAGCTTACAATTAGAAATCTAAAAGAATATGCATAGTTTGTTACAGGGGTGATGCATAAAATAACACTGAACACCCTGCATGCATGCTAAAATTATGAAGGACCCAAGAAATGACCTGGGAAGCATTTACACTACCTAGGCTGGCTCATTTAGTCTGAGCCATTTGTAAGGACTGGCATCGCCAGTCAGTCCCCAGCAAATGACAGTTCATGCAGAAAGCTATATTTGAACTGCCTACTTCTCATTTTCCAAATGTAATTTTAAAGCTGTCCACTTAGATACCCAAAAGCACTGCTTGTTTTTCCATTTTCCTCTCCAGTAATTCTTTTAAACTCTCATCTCTGTGCTTGAAGTACAAATAATCAGAAAAAGAGGGGCCCCGCCGGGAGCTCTGGAAAACTCTGAGGCTGAGACGCTCGTCTTTGCGGGCACAATCTCGCTCCTGAACACCTTCTGCCTCATGGTGGTCCTTGTTCCTCTCCTCCTCTTCTTCTTTGGGCACATCCTCCTTCTCCTCCTTGCAATTGTCCTCTGGCCCCTCGGGGGCCTGCTCAGGCTTGGTGGACAGATCCTGGGGTGCACCAAGCTGCTGGCTTTGGGGGGCCAGGCCAGGGCTGTAGGGTTCCACCTCATAGCAATTGTCATCGTCCTCCTCCTCATGGCAGGGGCTGCCCCGGGCACTTTCCCCATCCAACTGGAACATGGGCCCCTTTACCCCACGCTTCTGGGAGAGGTCAAAAGGCTCCTCCTGCTCCAAACTCCTCAGGACACCAGCTGACTGCGCCAAGGTGATTCTTCCTCTTCCCAAACCTGTGAGAGCAGAGTGAGAATTCATGCACACACGAAGAACAGTGGAAATGGAGCCTGGGGTGTATTGCAGAAGGGTAACCCAGGGCCATTTAACCTGTTCTGATTGTAAATATAGACACTTCCCAGTAAGAAGGTGGACATGGGAGGCTTGTCAGACAGTATCTAAATCAGCGTAACCCTGTTAAGGTGAACTTGGCAACAGGCACCAAAAGCTTTAAAAATAAGCCTTGACTTAGCAGGACACTACTGAGAATTTAAATGATTAAAAAATAGGCAGGCAGGAGCACAGAATGTATGTATAAGTATGCTCATCACCACGCTTTTTATTATAGTGAAACTGTGAGGACAATTTTGGTATTCAAGTTTTGGTTCAACACATAACAGTACATCCACACAATGAACTATGTGTAGGTGTTATGTGTTATAAAGACCCATTAACCACCATAAAATGTATTCTGTACTTAAAGTTGAAAAATATGCACATGTATTTATAGTGTAGACATGATTCATTTTCTTTCTGTAAAAAAAAAAATTCTAGAAGAATGTATGCCCAAATCTCAAACTTGATGAACTCTGAGATGATTATTACATTTTTCTTTCCATTTCCAAAGTATGTATTATTTTATTTTACACCCCCCCCCAACACACACACACACATACACACTCTACTGTAAGGAAAAAGATAAGCAACAATAAAGATATTCTCATCTTGAAAAAAGACAAAGAGAAATCACTTGAGGCTAGGACATCCACTAGAAGACCATGGCCCCTGTGCCCAGTAGTGAGGATATCTGAGGAGGACACTAAGCCCTTGTGTCTGACCATCAGTGTCCCCATGCTGGGCATGTAATCAGATTTCCAGTTTCAGTTTGAGACCCTGTAGGAATGAGCTTGGCTGTGCCCAACAGACATGGGATGGATAGTGGTTCATTCATCCCTTCTTTATAGGTCTGTGGTGACTCCACAGTCAACCAGGACTGTAAAGAGGAGAAACAGGAAGGGAGGGGTCTGGGATGCAGCTAGGCAGGCTTCAGGGTGGGACATAAAACAGATGGGTAGGGCCCTGAGGTCCAATGTTGAGTACTTTATGGTACCAGGCACTGCTGCTGTCTGTATCTTTAATCTTGCCAGGGGACAGGGAGGATCTTCTAATGACTTTTGAGTCATTTAAAAACCAGAATATAAAAAAAAAAAATGCTAACATTCTTTGTAGATGAAAACACTAGAATCATTGAAAGTCTGTAAAATTTTTCAAAGCAACCCTGCAATACATAGTGATGCTCCTCTTACTTCCCCCAGAGTGACAGAGCTGGTTTGAGCATGCCAGGATATGAACATGGGTACGTGGCAGGCAGTGGGGCCCAGATCAGGCTGTCAGCCAGAGGACCACCTCCTCATTACCTTGGCTGTCTCCCCCCTCAAGCAAGGGGACAAACTTTGCCTCTTCTGGAAAAATACAGGCCTACCTTGGGAAGTGGCTCAGGCAACTAGAGAGTCAATGAATCATTCAGGAGAGTAATTGCTTTTTTAAAAAAAAAAAAAAAAACAAGAATATTTTCAAGGCCTTTAAAAGCTTAAACTCCAGCCCTTTTTTGTGATGACCATGTTCCCTGTCACCCAGGAGTCCCCATAGAGTAAGGGGTTGCAGTGAAATGCCTAAAAGTGACAATCATTTTGAACATGCTGTGTATACAGGAGTGTGTCTTAATTATGAATCTGTGCTGATATCACTGTCATTGTAAGCAGCAAACACAAACAGATCGCCCTAGGTTCTTGCCTAAGGTAGTGAGCCTGGGCTTAATTCAGAAATTCTTTAGTTAGAAGTCCACTTCCACCTTCAGACCTGCTGTCTGACCTCAGCACACCTCTAGGCTTGATCTCCTCTTACCTAAAATGAGAATAACCCAATCTCTTTCATGAATTGGTAGGGGTGAGCAAGAATGCCCTGAAGAGTCTTGCCCTGTGCTTTGATCACATTAGTGGTCAAAAATCAGCTAATATGATTTTGTAAATTATATATATCACTGTCATCTCTCCCCCAACACAGACCTCCTAAAGGGCGGAGGTGGCCTTGTTCCTAAGGATCTGCCACGGCATGCAGCTCACTGTGTTGGACAGAGGTGCGTTTATTGCCGTTTATGAAGGACTGGTTGATTAGGTGACTAAGAAGCAAGTCTGATGAAGGCAGTAGATCCAGAACACAAACTTGACTGCTAAGGGCCCTGGGGATGCCAAGGGAAAGGAGGCGAGTACTTCATTAGCTCAGTTAAGACTCAATTCCAGGTGGAGGACATATACTCCTGCCCTGCCTCCGGGGCAATCAGCGGGAAACCAGTCCTTGGGTGAACAGGGAGGAGGGGGCTGCTACAATTCTGCTAGCAGCAGAACATGCAAACCTGTTTTTTTGTGGTTTTTTTTTTTTTTTTTCAAAAGAAAAGGAACATCACATGCTCTTTAACAGAAGTGGACACAATAAAGACCCTCGAGTCAGAAGGGTCTGCGTTCAAATCCTAACTTGGCAACTTTTCAGATAGGCAACTTGGGAAGCCTCATTTTCCCCATCTGCAAAAAGATATAGAAGTTCTTCCAGCCTGGAAGAGCTATGAAGATTTAAGGAGATAAGGCACCTGAGGGAATGTCTGGAACAAAGGAACCAAGACCTGAGCCAACTGGCATATTGTTTTGCTCTAAATTTACTCTGTGATTCTCTGTTATTTATGTCCTTCCCATATTAGTTATTACATTTCTTCTAGTAGCATTCTAAGTCTTGAAAAGTCACAGTCCTTTTTTTTTGACAAGAATAACCACCCCCAAAGTAATACCCCAAAGTTAAAAACAAATTCCACACCCATCTGCTGCCCACTGGACCTGGCAGCGTGGGGCTTCCTGCAGTGATACCTTGAGAGTGAAGTCCCCGCTCCATCACTCCATGCTTGACTTTCATGTGACGTGTCAGGTTCCCCTTCAGGGTGAATTTGCTGGGGCAGTAGAGGCACTTGAAGGGCTTGCTGTCTGAGTGCAGGTGCATGTGGCCCATTAGGTTGTGCATCCGGTTGAATTCCTTCCCACACAGCTGTTGGAGACAAAGATGAGGAGAACACAGTTATCCTGCCAGAGAGAACCCACATCAGGCCCTTGGAGATGGACATGTGGCGGCCCACAACCACTTTACTCTGCTTGGATCTTGGCATTTCAAAGATCTGTGATTACAAGGAAAATGACCCCTTGGACATCAGGGAGGGGTTGAATTCTGCCCAGCCTTGGAGGTGGAGCACGGAGGAATGGATTCATGAGACATTTGTTGCTGGTGTCCAGGGATCTCTGAATTCAAGGTGGAAAATTGCAAAGCCTGTAAAGCTGTTTTGGATGCAACCTTTAGAAAAGGTGAAGAGCTGAACTGAAAAAGCAGTTGCTGGAAGCTTGTTTAATTATAAGAATGCAGTGATGTGTTTGATATTTAGGGGGTGTTCACAACATGAAGGCATTGCTCTAAGTCTGTCAAGGAATATCTTACTTAATTCCCACATCAATCTTATGAGATGGATGCTATCATCACCCCTATTTAACAGGTGGGAAAACTAAGGGCTTAGGTCATTTGCCTAAGGCTCACAGCTAGTGGGTGCTGGAACTGAGCTAAGGAACTCAGGCCATCAGACCCCAGGGCCAGCAGGGTTCATACTACATCCCCCACAACATAGCTCTTTTATAAGACTGTACCAGACAATGCATTTTTAATTTACTAATTATTAGAATGCATTTCAAAGTTCAAAGAAATGAGATATTTAAGAAAAAGATGTGTCTGTTCTTGGAGTAGGCATATGAAGATGTGAGAATATTATCTCAGGTCTACAAAAACATGGGTTATTCATTTCTTTTTCAACATTTCTCTCTATTTCCATCCAAGTGCCAGTACGTGGAGACACAACAGCAGTTCTCACACTTCCTCTGGAAGAGTAGAACCTTCCTTCCAAACGCAATGTATGGGCAAGCAGAAAGTATAGAACAGTCCTGGGGTTATTTGCCTGTCCCCATGCCTTAGTAGAGCAGGGTTTTAGAAACTCCAGCCCTTCCTTGGCTGTCATGTTAGGGATGCAAGGGAGCATTTCTCTGTTTGCACTTGGACTAGAGTGTTAATGAAGGAGCAATCTCCTCCCACCTCCCCACATAGTCACAGACAGGACTAGAGGTATGGCACCTTCTGGGGCTGAGACAGCAGTGTCCTTTTTCCCTGAGACCCTTTTATGGACACTGTTGGAGATTCAGATTGAATTTTTATTAATGTAGGCAACATTTTTTTCAGGAAAGTGAGAGTTGAGTTGACTCTGGAGGAATGTTCAGACCTAACAAATGATGACTTCAGAAGGTTGGCCTAAAAGAACACTGGGTGGTAAGAGTCAGCCAGTCTAGGATTATGCATTTGTCACAGAATCCACATATGGATTATGAATGGCTGGTTTTGTATTTTTGGATAATTAGTACTTGCGGATTTTAAATACTTTTCCCTTTGCTTCCACACTAGCAAGACTGAATTTGGCAACCTGTATGGGTTTCCAAGCTGTGCACCACCTTCATTTGAAAATAATTATCCCCCTGGAGAAAAGGATGAGAGGATTGGCCTAATTCCAACATCCTCAAGAGAAGTAATATACGTATGGACACATCTTTTCTTTTATTCTCTATAGAGATAATTAATTAAGATATTTCATTTTATGACTCAATTTCACACCTGTATAAAAGTTTTGGTAAAGTTATCAGCTTAGGTTACCTACTTCTCTATTATGGCTAAAGAAATAAAGTTTCAAGATTCTACATGAAGTATTTCCAGTTGTGATCATTTTTAGAAAAGGCATACCTCCTTTGGTTTGTGGAATGGTTCCTGATTATTTGGAGTGATACTGCTGTTTGCAATTGCTAAGTGTGACCAGTACTTGGCTCGATATTTATTTCAGCTGTGTTCTCACCTAGTAGACTGCAATATCCATGAAGGCTCTGCCTGTGTTTTATTGTATTCCTGTCTAGGATAAGCTTGATGCATGCTAGGTTCTCAGAGAGAATGTATTGAGGGAAGGAGTGGGCACCTGGCAGCAGAAAATTACAGAAGAAACAGCCTGATGTGGTGAAGCACAGGCAAGTGGAGAAGAGGAGCTGAAGGCTAGAAGGGCAATTAGGCTACCGCACAAGTCTAGCATGGGTGGAGTCTCTAGGCTAGACAGACATCCTTGGAAAGGATGGGTGCCTTCTTGCACTTGACTCCCATGATGGGAGAAATTCCTCTGTGTTGGCTGAAGTAGTACAGGCTGGACTGACCTGATGAGGTTTTGTAAAGGCGATGGAATTTTAGCCTTTACCTTGAAGAATGTGCAGTGTCTTTTGTTTTTATTTGACCCATAAATAAATTGTCTCCATTAGATTACTTTTAGACACTCCAGTCAAACTTACACCACCAGGAAAAGGAACTATCACTTTTGTGATAATGATGAACTGCGTGTTGCTGTCAGACCTGCTGGGACATGGGAGTCAGGGCTGACCCTGCAATTCACCTGCCTTAAGATTGCACCTATCATCTCCCCTCCCCCACTCCAAATTCGGAGGTGTGCTCGTCAGAGTGGCTGCCTCTAGGCATCCTCCACATTCTGCATCAGCCTCAGATAAACTTCCTTTTATGCTCCTTTACTAGTGTATTTTTTTTCCTATAATGTATTTCTAGCTCAATTCATTCAGTACTGAACTTCTTGGAACATTTTAGCGGCACATAGGGACATTAGGATGTTAAAATGTATTGTCAATATCATTTTATATATATATTATCAAGACCTGTGGCCTCAGGGTAAGTCCATTGTGGGACATGACTGGTCAGCTATATCATGTGTGATTGGTAAAGGAGAATGATTTTTGTACTATTGGTAAGATTTAGTTTTGATATTCTAAATTTATCCTGCATGGTTATGTTAGCCTATTGGACACACCAATGGAGAGCTTTCCCAGGACTAATGGAAGTACACCAACTCTGAAAGGTGTTTGGGGCCCCAGACAGAGTTCCTGGTAATCTCCAATGCAAGGGTCAGCTCCCTTTTCTTTGTAACCAATTTCTCTATCAAGCACAGGACTATACACATATACCTTCAATGAATAGTTAAATATTTGGTCATGAGAATAAATAACCAAGTCAGGAAAATATCATTACCCCATGCAAACTTCTAAAAGCAGCCATTACCAGTTCTCTTCCTTTCCCCACTAAACCTAGACACATTAGTTAGGAAAATACAGTCCTCCCTAGCATGAGGATGGAGCCAATTAACTCAGGCCTAAGGCACCTGAGCTCCATTCACATATCAGCAGTAGTTGCTTAGATTCATCCTCTCAGCCTCTGACCCTTCCAAAAGCCCTTGGGGCCCTGTCCAGAACCAAAGGCCTCTTCATCTTTCTCAGAAGATTATCCTCATATGACATAGCACACAAGAGGACAGAGTTATTTTATGTCTTTGAAATTCAGGGAGAGAGACTTCAGACTGTTAGTGAAGAGGGGGCCAGCTAAGGATCGCACCCTGGGATGACGTCCGAGATGGCAGATCCAAGCAGAAGCACTTCAGTCAGGAGGGAAGCTGGCCTGGGAGAAGAAGAGTGACTGGGAGGAAACAACAAAACTCGTTTCTTCTCTGGATAAAAGCAGCCACTTAGATTAAGTCCCCTTTAAGTCATGAGCTGTGCGGCTAAGAGCTTACCCAAGTTAGGGCCTGCTGAATCATCTCCTACCATGGTCTGCAGAGCTTAAAACAAGGTATACAGGTGCAGGAAGCTGATGGAGGGGTGAGGGCAAAGCTTTCATCTTTTCAGAATCGTCTCAACCACGGTGCCTTTTGCCTGAATCCTCTCTAATGAGCAGCATCAAATGTGCCTCTGACGTTAAATCCCAGATTCTCCACCTACCCACTTTTTAAGAAGGAAGTGGACCTCAAAATCTAATTAAAAAAATAGAAGCAGCCGGGCCTGGTGGTTCACGCCTGTCATCTCAGTAGCTTGGGAGGTGGAGGCAGGAGGATCACAAGTTCAAAGTCAGCCTCAGAAAAATCGAAGAATGAAGCAAGTCAGTGAGACCCTGTCTCTAAGTAAAGTACAAAGTAGGGCTGAGGATGTGGCTCAGCTGGTCAAGTGTCCCTGAATTCAATCCCTGGTACCCCGCCACCAACCACCCCTCCAAAAAGAAAGCATTTTTAACTATACTTTAAAAATAGGTTGCCTGGATCATAAGGTTTTTCGATGACAATGTAGACAGGTGATAGTGGGAACCCAGAACAGAGAACTTGCTTTGTCTTCTCTTCTGTACAATGTTGATGACAGGTAGTTTCTTATGAAGGATGTTGGGAGGATCAAATGACATAATTCTTGCAAAGTGCTTGGCAAACAGCAAAAGCTCAGTAAATATTAGCTCTTATTACTATCATTATGGAGTGCACAGGAGATTCTTTAACATTCTAGAAATAGGATGATCTTCCAAGATGTGAGTTCTGTCTTTTTAAGCTAAATTAACTGAAGGAAATATCAAAGGAAGGATCCAATGAAGAATCCTCTAGGTAAATATCTGTCAGGTTACTTGGAGCCTGATAGAATGCAAGTAGCATGTGGGCCCAGGCTGGGCACTGAGGATGGGCATTGTGTAAATCCTAGCTTGCAGGCTTTGGGAGAGCCCACTCTCTGGCTTCTCAGAAATCAGTCTGCCTTTGAAGCAACTAGCAGATGCCCTGTTTGCTCCAGGCCTTTTCACTTTGGTCTCCTGGTGCCCTTTCCCTACGCAGTCCACGGCCAAGAGGCACCACAGGCTCACTCCCGTGAGCCTCTGCGACATGCTGACAGCCGGTAGCTGCCAGAGAGAGGTCGGCTATGGGGAGAGACAGGGCGATGGCAGTGGCAGCCACTTGGCTGGGGCCAGAGGCCCAGAAAGCCAAAAAGAAGCACACTACCCTGCTCCAGCCCCACGTGAGCTTTGGAGCTGAGATGCCCCAGGAAGCCCGAGTTTTCCTATTCTGAGAGAAAAGGTCAAAGAGCTGCAGGCCGCAGCCGAGAAAAAATGGCCTCACTAAACTGCCCTTCCCTTACATTCTTCTCCCTCTCTCTCCTTTAATAAGAAGGGTGTTCCTTTCCTCAAAGGGAGAGAGAGGGAGGGAGAGAGAGACTGTAAACTGTCCAAAAGGACCGTGAGAAAACAGGAAGCTTTGAAAAGTACAAGAGAAAGCAAGATGAAATCTATTTGCAGGCGGCCCCTGGGGACGCGAGAGGCATTGTTAAGCAGGCAGTTCATACAGCTATATCCTTCCTTCTGCTGAGGAGGGCTTTGCTGCCAAAAGGCTGCTATCTGGTCACTGCCTTAACCCCCTCAGTGCCAGCCTGAAAACCCTGACCCCAACCATGGGGCCTGCAAAGTCCCTCACCTGCTTTCTTCTTTTTAGAACATCAAAGAGCTCCAGAGGATAATGGAGGCAGCTTGGCAGTGGAGGTGGAGACCCTTTTCAGGGAGACTTCACCCCTCTTCTAATGGCTCTGCCCTCCAGCCTTCAGCCCTGTGCTGCAGAAAAGGCTGCAGATGACCTGGTGATTCATAACTTAGGCAGCTCCCGGCTTCACCCATCTCAAAAGAGAATTTGTCCCGGAAATTCTGGATGGCTGCTTTTCCTGGACAGGTTTTCCAAAGACGGCAGCTGGTTCTTTGCTGTTATGGAGTGCGGCCCTACAAGGATAGTATCCAAATCAACCCCTGCGTGCTTACGCAGAATCTGGGAAGCATATTTCTGAAACATGGCTCAAGTGAGTCTGCAGGCGCAAGCCTCTGGACAGACTCCAGCTGGCTTCAAAAAACAAGGAGTCCAGAAGTTGAGCCAATAGCAAAAGAGCCCTGAAGGGCAGTAATTTTTTTTTTTTAATATAAGGAAACAAAATTAAAAAGAAAGAAACAGAATGGAAACCTTTCTTCTCCTCTAATTTTCCATCCTATTGTTAATGCCTAAGACCACAGTTAGTAAATGTTTTTGCTCGCTGGGAACAGCTGTTTCCACTGAGCACAGGGCCATAGAGAACCACTTCATGTTGCAACAGGAGAAAGGATTTATGTTAGGAGGAAATTTTAATGGTAAGAATCGCAAGATATTGGAATCTGTTACCAAGAGAACCTCCCTCGTTGCAAGGTTTTGGGTAAAGAAGACATAGCTAACTATTAGAATATGGCTGCAGCAAGATCTGTCTTTCTTTTCCAAACATGTCAAACACAGGAAGAGAATAACTCTTCCCTGTCACTGCTCCAAGATCTTGTTTGGTTATCTGGGCCTGTTCTCCAATATTACCATGAGCCAGCCAGCCATTGGCCCGACGATTATGAATTGCATAGCCATGATCCTCCATCCCACTCCCAACTCCCAAACCCCTGACAAGGTTCACCCAGGGCCAGATTTCTAAGAAACTGGCACAACATAGATGGAAAGCAAGGTCCACAGGACACATCTCAAGAGGGCCTATCACACAGTTTCTATAAAACACTAAGAGCCTTTTTGCATAATTTGTAAATTCAGGCATGCTCTGGGAGTCTTTTGGAATGAAAAAGAGTGGTGGTACAAAAAGGATACCAAGAAGGGTGACAATTTGCAGAGATATGGTAACGGGGAAAGGAAGAACCTGGAAGTACATTCTAGCACTTTCCAGGAGACAGAGAGCCCTGGGTAGAGGTGACTGCTACCCATTATTGTTTCAAGATATTTAAGAAAGTAGAAGGGCCACCTAAGTTTGGCAAAAATGCCCTTTAATACCTTTTTGTCTAATAATAGATAATGCTTTCTAGGCAATCTAGTGTCTCACAATGTGGCCACATGAGAGAATGTACCCATTAGAAAAAAATGATCTTTGTAGATGACCAGCCCAAATCCTATGCCAGGGCCATCTTCTATTGTGAAATATAAACTGTGCATTATCTCAAAGCTGGCATTCCACTCTGTAAACATTCTCTTATGGGATCTGACAGTGTGGACCAGATATCCAGAGCCTAATCCAACCTCAGGGAGGAGGAGATTTGGAGTTTCTGAACTATGAAGCTGACCATCACATACCTTTTGAACCACTGGGGTGGAGGAGGACACTGTTATCCATGAGGGGCTAAAACTTTCAGATAGGATGGCTCACTCAGGCTGTATTTCTCTGTCCAGAGTTCTGGGCATTGGTACCTGAGAGAACTTCTAGAACTTCCAATACTTCTAGCCTCTAGAAATCCTCAAGGTCAAGGACATTTGAGAGTGGAGAAGCAGAACTGCCTCTGTGCCCACAAATTCAACACAGTATATATTGGCTCTGCCACTGATATATCCCCGATTTGAGGGGCATTCTCTGCCTGGTGGTGCCACAACTGCTGGATCAGAATGAATGAGATGGTTGGTCTGAACAGGTATGGATATTTAGGGGATAAATTGGGCAATGGCTCCCTTCACATTTTAACAACTTTATTCCACCAGAGGTTGATAAGATGAAAAAAAATACAATTCATGCTTTAAGCCCCCCAAATAAATCAACAAAGGGAACAAAGAATGGCAAAGAGACTCTGCTTGCACCTCCATATTAGGAGACAGTAAACCTCTAGAGGAGGGAACAGCTTTGATAAAAGTGAAGCACTATAGGGGCTCAATGGATTGGGAAGGAAATCAAAGATGTGCCTAAGGAGAGACAGAAGAGGTACTCTGTGGAGTCCATTGGTTCATGCAGCCAAGGATGGCTTCACAGGTGTTCAGCATGGGTTTCCTACTCAGAAGGGTACTGAGTCTGATTTGATGCTCTGTTTTCACTGTCTTGAAATTCTGAATAATGTTTGAACAAGAGGCCTTGCCTTTCCATTTTGTATTGGTCCCTGAAACTTATGAAGTCCATCCTGCATGCTGCTTCCTCCCCCTTAACTTGGCTGACTCAAGGTGGATATAAATTGACTTTCAAACCACTGGGAACTTGGAGAAAAGGAGGGGAAACAGAAGTGGGTGGCAGGAAAAGGGTTGGGGGGAGAAGTCTCCCTCTCCCGCCTCCGGACAATGCCCACATGGTCTAGGGAAGCTCTGGTTCCTGACCCCTCACCCCGTCTAGGAGTTGCCAACACAGGAAAGAAGTGAACTTCACAGGGGGTTCCTTTAAGTGGGAGCCATGCTGCAGAGGATGAAAGCAGCAATGTCCCCTAGAAGCAGGGAACCCCACTTCAGAAATATAGATCAATGGAGAATGTCACCCACACCCCATCAGACATGCAGTTACAGAAAGAAGCTCTACAGATGATCTGCATCTGGTATTTCCCTCTTCTCTCGTTCAGCCCTCCCTTCATGACCGGGATGACACTCACCCACACAGTGCTAACTACCCAATCTGAGCAAGATTCCTCATCTTAGAAGCAGAGAAGGAAACAGGGTTAAGGGGTGTGGAAGCCTCAGGAAGCCCGGGAACTTCTGAGCCACATTGGTCAGGGCTTTGGACCTTACGACTCTCCAGCTATGCATTTTCTCATATGATGAAATAAAAATCCAACCAAGTTAATCTGACACAAGAGCTTTTAACAAAGATGCTCCATTCCTGTGCTTTGTGGCACTTAGGAATAAATGAAAAACACTTTAATGACCGTGCTCACAGCATCTCTGAGGTCCTTTGAAGGATTAGCTTCAGAATCCCTTTCTTTTATTCTATTTTTTAGAAAATTTTAATTGACCCATAATAACTGTGTACCTTTATGGAACATTATGTGATATTTGGATTAGTATTTACAATGTGTGATGATCAAATCAGGGTAATTAGCATGTCCACCACCTTAAACATTTTTCACATCTTCATGTTGGGAATATTCCAAATTCTTTCTTCTGTCATATCCAATAAATTGTTAACTTGAGTCACCTCACTATGTTATGAAACACCAGAACTTATTCCTAACTGTATTTTCGGATCCCCTCATCAGCCTCTCTCTATCCTGCCTCCCTCCCTTCTTAGCCCCTGGTAACCCTCCTGCTACTCTCTACTTCTATGAGGTCAACTTAGCTTCCACGCAGGAGTGAGGACATGTGGCATTTGTCTTTCGGTGCCTGACTTATTTTACTTGACATAATGTGCTCCAGGCTCATCCATGTTTCTCTAAATGCCAGGATTCCATTTTTTATAGCTGAATAGCATTCCATTGTGTATATAAAGTACATTTTCTTCATCCATTCATCCTTTGATAGGCACCTAGGTTGATTCCATACTTTAGCTGTTGTGAATAAGTGCTGCAGCTACCGTAAGATCCCACAATCCCACCACTGAGTCTACCTCCAAAGTAAAGGAAATCAACCTGCGGAATCTCTTTCATCCTCTCTGGGAAGCCTGCCTTCAAATTATATAGTTCAGATTAAATGTCAGAAAAGGAGCAGGCAGAGGCAAGGAAAGGGCTATGCTAGAAGCTTCTCTGACTCCTTTCTATATTCAATTTATTGACTGATAAGGGAAAGAGGACCACACCTGTTTCTCCACCCTGGAACAGGAACTCTCCACATCACCTCCATCCCTTACCAACCCATTCTCCAGAAAAGCTGTCCACCCTCAGACCTTCCCCCAGGGCACTGATGACACAGTGAGACAAACTAGACAGGCTCCTCAGGGACCAGCCAAAAGCTTATGTGCACAAAGGTGTAGTGCAAAGAGGGACAGTAGAGGATGGGACTGGGGGTTGGCCATAGACCTACTCTGAGTAGCCCCACTGATGAAACAGAGTAGACTGTTCCCAGGTTCTCTTTCCCTTTGGGTATTTGCCCAACCCTCCTACCCTTCTTTTCTGCCCACCTTGCATTTGAAGGGCTTCACATCAGAATGGACAATCATATGTGCCTTGAGAGTCTGTTTCTGCACGAAGCTCTTGTAGCAGAGGTGACACTGGTAGGCACGGATGTTGGTGTGGATCAGCACGTGTCTCTTCATGTTGGCCAACAGGGTGAACTCACGCCCGCAAATGCCACATTTGTGCTCCTTTACACCCTGTGAGGAGGCAAGATTCAACAAATAATTGGTTAACAGGTAACAGGCTTCTGTGAGGTTTTGTTCTCTCTGCTACATAAATCCACAAACAGCTTGGTGAGGTTCCCAATAGATTACATAATCTAGGTGTTTTTGTTTTTGTTTTTCCTTCTGAACACCATAAACTATCCAGATCGGTAGAGGAAAAGAAAACTATCACTTTTGTTGTTCCTGTAACTTCTGGTATTTAATACTATAGTAACAATTCAAAAGCATTAGTAGGATTTTGATAAAAGCACTGTGGAATGTGTCTGTAATCTGGCTTTCCTGGTAATGAAGAAATAAAATCTTTTAAACTGGTATCATTTGCCATATGAAAAACAACGTCCTCTTGACATTAATGGACAGAAAAATTCCAGGAGAGCAACTCAGCCTCACTTCAATCAATTATGACTTGATTGTTGGTCCCCTGGTTCCCATGGGCCATTCTGAGTTGTATGACATGGTCCTGGATGCTCTCCTTCTGCTGGAGAAATTTGGCAGCTTTCTAATTAGAAAACAGGACAGAAGGTTTCCAGTTTGCTTGCTATCTGCAGAGCAGCGTTTGAATACTTGAGCATCTATGCCCTCAATCCAGAGCACTTCCAGGGACTCACACCTCGAGCAGCCCATTGGCTAAACCTATTGCTTCCCTGCAAAGGTCTTCAAAGATGTCTTGATCCAGAATGAACTTTTGTTTTCTAGGGTGGTCTTGAACTCAGACTCAAGTGATCCTCTACCTCCTAAGTACCTGGGACCACAGCATGCACCACTGTACCTGGCCTGAATGACTTTTTGAAAAGGAATACTTAGAGGACCAGGGATCTAAAATGAAAAATCTTACAGGATGAGAACAGGCTACTAAATGAACAAATCTTATAAATCCATATTTCCTGGAATCTATAGTACAGTATCCTTTCTTAGGTCAAAAGAAGAGTTTCCAAACTCAGCTCAGACTCTGACTATATTTTCACTTATCTAACTTGGAGCATGGTAAGAAAGTACCACTCCTCGGTTTTGGTGAGCCCGTGGTACTGAAGGGTAGGGTTCAGATCTCTGCCCACCCATTTACTGGCTGCAAAACTTTAGATAAATAAGTCCCATGGCTTTTCCTGGTGGAGGCTTCTCTTCTCAAGATGAACCAAAAGGTCTTGAAAATCCTAGGGTTCTTTATAGCTCAGTTTCTAGTCTAAATGATTGCAGATACATATGGATTTATGCTAATAAAGAGATGTAGGGATTGTTCTCCTTTAAAATTAAATTTTAATGCCCTCTAAAACGGTGAAAATACATTGCATATTAGTTGAGTTTAAAATTATGAAATCAATAGAAATAGTTTCTTGATGGTTTTCAAAATTTACTACAGTATCTTTCTTCTTTCCAGATGTTCTCTGGGCTGGGAGTGGCTCAGTGTGTTCAATGCATGCCTACCATGCCCAAGGCCCTGGTTTAATCCCCAACATCAAAAAATAAAAATAAATAAATAAAATATTTAAAAGATTTTCTTTGGGCTGGGCACTGTGGTGCACACCTGTAATACCAATGGTTTGGGGGGCTGAGGCAGAAGGGTCATGAATTCAAAGCCAGCCTCAGCAACTTAGAGTAGCCCTCAGCAGCTCAGCAAGAGCTCTGTCTCTAAATAAAAATATAAACATGGACTGGGGATGTGGCTCAGTGATTAAGTACCCCTGGGTTCAATCCCCATACCAAAAAAAAAAAAAAAAAAATTAAAAGAGAGAGATTTTCTTTGGGTGTGGCTATGATCTAGGACCAAGGAGAAGCCACTATTTTTCACTGGTTTTGGAATTTTTTTCTAGAGAATTCAGTGTCCAAAGTAAGACTCACATGTGGGCCCACAGAAGGCAAGGGAAAAGGAATTTGGACACAACTATGGGGCAACAAAAGAAGCTGTTGTTTCTCTGACAGGACTGGGTGGGGGGAGGTTAGGGATGAGGGGAAAGAAGGGGTGGAAAAGAGGAAGTTGTGAGAGTAAAGTGTTCAAGACTCAGACATTGGTGTCAGGGATTCCCGAGTGGCCTCTCCATGCCTTGGTGTCTTCATCCGCAAACTGAGAGTAGCTCTCATAGTTGTTGGGAAGTAAATAAAGATTAAATGAGAAGTAAAGCACTGGCCATAGAGAAAAAGTATTCAGTACTACCTTTCACTTTTTGCTTAAAATTAAAGCAAAAAATAAATTAAAATTTAATTTTTAATTTTTAATTAAAATGCAGCTTGTTTCCTGATTCAAATGAAATTTATTTTAGACACCAAGATGTTTCTCCCATTTTGACTTAATTTTCTACTATCTTACAGAATCCATATGTTCTAAAATGTACCTTTGATGCCTTTTCCATACGTGCAGGAGTCCCAAAATAAACAAATGGTCCTCTTTGTGGTTGAATCTTGGTCTAGGTCCTTTGTGATGGTTCCTGCACTTGGCAGGCAACTCCCCTCTGATGGTATCTATGGGAGCCCTTTGTAGGGCAGGAGCTGTTTGTGCAGAGCCCACAAGGCAGACCCACATTTCATCTCTGCTTCAGAGCCAGAAAATGCCCCAGGTTTTGTCCTAATCTAACAAATGAAATCCATTATAGCAGAGCAGAAGCATTATCTTGGCTGGGCAAAGTCCTTCACTGACCTTTCAGAATTAAAGAATGTTTTAACAAAACTTTGGCTTGCTAGAAGTCTTTCCTGCCAAGAAAACCACTGAGGTCAAGGGTAATGGATGAGGTCAGCAGGGCAAAACTCCCTTCTCAGCAGTTCAAAGCACTCAAGTCAGCTCAACCAGGCTAAGATTTCAGGAATGCCACTAGGGCCTTGTTTTAGTTCAGTCTGCATGACTCCAGGGCTTTAGTTGCAACCCAGACTGAAGATAGACCCTTGGGCTGTATATCTCCTTGAAGACCTGAGTCCAGGGAAGATAAAAACAAACCAAACAGAAAAGGATGTTTTCTCCTGCCTCCTACAATGCAAACCACAGGCCACCCAATCCACGCAGCTACCTGTCTCACACCCAGGAAGCACAGGCCTTGCAGGACCAGGCCAAGCCCTGCTCTCCTCAGAGCCCCTGCAGAGATCCAGCACACAGATCAAAATGTAGCCCTGCTTCAGCAGCAAAAGACAAGAATTCTCTAGAAGACTCTCACTGGTATATCCTATTGATCAGGGTCTGATGACACACTTGTGCTAGTGCCCTAGATGAAGTTACAGGAAAAAAAAAATTAGGGATTCTTGGGAAGTAGGAAGCAACAGCAAGACAACCAGCTGTTTCTTCATCCTTCCTCACTCTCCTCTCCAAATATCTGCCTTATTTATTTCTGGGCCCACCTTAGACTCTAAAAGGCTAGCCGAGGAAAGGACTTGATTGATAGTCTATGGTCTTGTCATTCTCTCCTGCTTAAAGGTGAGGAAGGGCATCAGGGCTCAGGATAGGCAAGCCTCTTGCCCAGTGTTACACAGCTCCTCAGCATCTATGGTGATCCCTCAAGATCCAGCAACCCTGTCCCTGGGAGGGGAGCCCCTCAATACCTTATGCGTGAGCGAGTGCTGCTTGAGATGGTGGGGCTGCACAAACTCCATGCCACACTCGGAGCAGATGTAGGGCCGGATGTCCTTGTGCTTCATCATGTGGTTCTGCAGCTGGCTCGGGTACTGGAAGGTCTTGTCGCACTCGGAGCAGTTGTACTGGATGGGGCCCCGGTGCGTGGTGAGGTGTCTCTTCAGCTGGGCCAGCGTAGGGAAGTCAAGGCCGCACTCCACACAGATGTTCTCGCGCCCACTGGCGTGCTTGGCCTCGTGGGCCTTGAGCTCGCTGGGGTAGGCGAAGCCCCGGCCGCAAACACGGCAGTTGTGCGGCTTCACCTCGCTGTGCTGCATCATGTGGCGCTTGAGGTGGCTGGTCTGGGTGAAGGCCTTGTGGCACACCTGGCATTTGTGGGGCCGCGTGCCCTGGTGGGTCAGCATGTGGGTGTGCAGATGGCTGAGCTGCTTGAAGAGCTTCCCGCAGCGGGTGCACGCGTGCGGCTTGATCCCGCTGTGGCCCAGGATGTGGGTCACCAGGTTGTACTTGGAGGTGTAGGACTTCTCACAGGTCGGGCACTGCCAGCGCTTCTGCGCCCCACCCACGTCCACATAGTAGCTGTCATCGATCTGGACGTTCACGTCCACCCTCTCCACCTTCTGCTTGGTCTCCTCGCTCTCCTGTGGCTCCACCTTCCTGGGCAACAGGGGTTCCGGTTCCGGGGGCTGCTTGGGCAGGAAGGTGTGCCGGCTGAAGTGGAAGGGTGGGGACGGGGGCACGAAAAAGGGGAACATTAGGCCAGGGTGGACTTTGGGGTAGTAGGGGTAGGGCGAAGGCAGGAAGGGAGGGGGCGTTGGCTGGGGCCACACTGCGCTGGGCTTAATGGGCTCCTGCTTGACAGATTTGCCCCCCAAGTGTTCCAGGGTGCGGTAGAACTGGAAGCCTACGTTGCACAGGTCAATCATCTGGGAGTCATACTTGGGACGTGGGGGCTGCGGGTAGAGCAGAGGGAGGCTCGGAGGGCCATGGTTTTTGTTCTCCTGCGAGTGGAGTGCGAGGGTGGCCTCTTCCGCCGGGTGGTTGTACGGCATCTTTGTGGGCATGCTCTTCCGTTTCCGGGACCCCCCTCCTTCAAAGACCCCAGCAAATCCGTCTAGGTCTCCTGGAGGAGGTTCATACCGAAACTGGGAAAAAGGCCCCCGAAGAGCTTCTGGGAATGGATGTCTTTGGGGTGCTTTACCCCGGGAAGCCACTGGTTGCAGACAGTGGGGAAAGGAGGGGGTGCTCTTCACACCCAAGTTGAAATGTACATCCTCATCTTTGATCATCTTCATTTCCTTCTGCATCCTTGGCAGTTTTCCTTTAAAGAGAAAGAAACTTATTGTGTGGGATTTTTTTTTTTCTTTTTTTGGTTTTGCTTTGTTATGAATCTTCTTTTCCCTTAAAGATCTTGGCTACTCATCAGTACTAAGTTATGAAGAGCAAGCTTAAACACTGACCCTCATTTGTCCTAGGGCTGTTCAAAGTACCACAGTTCTTTCTCCTTTCAAACACTGGCCTTCTGGAGGGAGACCCTAGAGCTGGGTCATACTGGACTCAAATGATGTTCCAACTACCAAACTAAGAAGGCAGGGAGTGGACTTCTCTGTTCTCTGTTTTCACTTAAGATGAGGGTCCCAAGGCCCAGAGAGATGAAATGACCTGCTCAAGTCACACAGTTACTCAGTGGAGGAGTCAGACTGGGACAGGTTCTGCAACAGCTTTTCAGTCTGAGATGTAATTGCATCTACTACTACTGATGATTTAAATGTGTTTATCTAAGGATGGTTTCTTCCTTAAGGGAATGCCTTTTCAGTACTACTCCTTTACTTGGACCTTTGCTTCTAGGGGGTGGGGATATTCAAGGGCACACTGGAGAAGGGACTATAATGCTGAACTCAGATCTAATATTTTGGAGTCTCCACTCTGAGCAAGGTGTGCTGCTGAGGAATATGGAGCAGATGAGATGGACGTGCTTAAGAAAAGCATTTGGGGCAACCCGGGGTATAAAGTCATTTTGACAACATATGTGTTCTAATCTTCTACTGGAAGCAACTCTCCAAGGGAAAATTCCAAGGTTATGAGTCTAAACCTGTATTTGGGGTTCTCCCTTCATGCAGATGTCAAAGTAAAGGGCAGCCTTTGGTGACTCTTATGGTCCCTGACATTTCTCCTTCTGGGCCAGTTATTGCATCCAGGTGATCATGCCAGGCACATTTGAAAGAGTGTCAGGCCAAAGTTTGGACCGGGGGCCATGTTTCCTTTCATAGATCTCTCTGCCATTTTCCTGTCTTCTTCACAAGGACACTAATGGAATGAACTAGTGACTGACTCCACCTTCCCAGGGACGGTCTTTTCTCCCCAGGATCCCTTAGTTTGATGGGTCTCCTTGGCTCATCAGAGATGTCCATGTCATCCTGGCCAGGAGTAAGGCCTGATCTAGAGACTGTCCTGGAGTGATGCAGGGATCTGGTCCCTTGGAATGGCTGAAAACCAGGCAGTGCAGGTTGGGATCCTACAGGGAGAGGGCCAATGGCTTCCTGTGATTTTTGATTTTTTGATTACCAAATCCATGCACAAATAGTCCAACTGAGGGAAAAATACAAGTTCTTTTTATGTGAATATTTGGGCATTATTAACAACTGTTCTGAATTGGTCAGAATCCTAAAAAATAATGTCAATTAATATTTATTTTGTGATTATGTGAGTGATAAGATGACCCTGGGCTGTTGTTCTTTCCTTAGGTTGGGGCTCAGTAATTAAGGGCATGAGCTTATGTGTCCAGCAAATGGGAAATTTGCTTCCTCCTAAACTTCTTACCACAAAGCAAGGTCTTTTACCACTATAGCCTCAGGCAACTGCAGGAAGTGATGAGGGCAGTAAGGAAAGAAAATGCCTAGCTTCACGAGAACCAGAGAGACATGGTGGGTGTTCAGTTGAGAGTTGGGGTACTAATACTGTCAGAAGGGACAGGCAGGTGGGCGGGGACATCAGAGGGTCCTTCATGGTATCCCATGTTTATTAGATGGTCCCTTGGCTTGCAGTGCAACAGGTGCTGATCCCTGAGTTAACACCAAGTTATAGAGGGTGGGGACCTGGTCCAAGAGCTTGTGTCATCTATAAAAATCATTGGCTTTCATACAGGGCTGAACATGCCTGTTGAATATGAGGGAAAATGGCAGATCTTTTCTATGAAATTTCGTTTTAGCTGCAGTTGATTTTCTAACCCCTTTGGAGATAGGTTCCTTTTATGAAAAGTCTGTTCCAAATGTAAAGACTCTTCCTGGTGGTAAGTGGCTCTCATTGCCACAGCCCAGCCATCCAAAAGCAAGCTTCTTCTCTGTTTTATTCTGATCTGATGAAAAGAAACAATAATTTCTAGTCTGTATTAGAGAGTTTGATTTGAGGATTAATGAAAAGGGTTCATGTTAGAACATGGGACAGAACTTAACAAGTCTTTTGTGTATTTTATTCTTAAGAGGATACTAAAAATTCATGGCTAATGATGTGGAGTATCTTTATATCATGTGCTATATATTATACTGGAAAGCAACCTACTTGGAAAGTAATCTTATCACTGATTTTGAAACAGAAGGTATTTCAGCTTATATCCATTATTATTGCCTTGTTTAATATTTTTGTTTTCAGTTATGACATGATTAACTAATTGATTTCTTTTAACATATTAGTGACACTCCTAATGCAATGCTATCTCAAAAGCGTATTTATTTTTGGTGTTTACATTTTTATATTATCATCATTGACCTGTTAAGGCAAAGAAACATTGTTGAGCAGAGATATGGTATGTGGGTGTGTGTGGGTGTGTGTATGTGTATGTGTGTAACATAAATGGCGCAGTTACATCCCCAAGTACAGAGACTACATGTGTGCATTCTCATTTCTTACTTATTTAAATGTTATAAAATTAATTTTCCATTTCCATTTTCTGTCTTGTGTATATGATGATTCTCTTATGCCTGAAGTAGTAGTCTGAGTGCCCTAGAATGAAGTTGTTATCTCCAGCAGGCTTGAAAAAGCATGGAATCCACTGATTGACATTTGCACAGATCTTTAAAACAGCAGTCCCTCCCTGCAGATGATCTTAAGGAGCACTGCCAATCACAAGAGGAGGTCAAGGAGAACTAGTGCTGCTTCCCCCTTGGCCTTCTTGGAGAGAAATCAACTGTGGCTGCTGCTAGCTATTAATATCCCTGACTTTGAGCATCAGGTAATAAGGAGAAGCCCTAGAGGGTAGAGCAACAACAACAAAACCCAGAAAAGAAACCTATACTGAGGATGGTGACTGTTGAAAAGAAAAGTAAGGAAAGTTTATCTTTCTCTGGAGATAACTTACCTTCAAATCAAGGTAAGTTAAAATTCTGGGTGTCCTCAGATAAGATATTAATAGACTCCTAGAAACCTTGGTGTGTTCCCTTTGATTTCTAAAAATAGATCTTTAGCATTCATGACAGCCACAGGATTCCTGTGCAGGAAGCAAGAGAGGCTTGGGGACAAGGATATGATTAGGAGACCCACAGCCTGGAGGGCAGAGCCTGCAGGTGGGAGAGGAGTAGCTTTAAGCCCTTGGTTGCCTATAGCTGATTCCAGAGCTCTGGAGAAAACCAGCAGATTATATGATAGTTTCCCACCAGGCTGTGTTGAAACAATGTACAAAGAGAAAGAAGAACTGAAATTTTAGAAGTAGACAGCTGTGGGATAGTGGAAAGAGCATGGGTTTGGAGCCAGAGGGCCTGGGGTTGAATATTGGCTTCGGTTAGCAGCTTTGAGAAATTGAGCAAATTAATTTTGAGGTCTGGTGTTCTCATCTGTGAAATGGGAGTTTGGATTTCACCAAAGGTTGTTGGGAATTTAAAATCGAGTAGTATGAAAAAGTGTATTGAATACTAGACTTTGTGGTGCCTTTGAGGGGTAAGAAAGAGAAGAGAATTGGGTCAGTAATCAGCGGGTGGACACCGACTGACGTCATCTGTGTTTTCCAATTCGAAGCTGTTGGTCATCATGGACAGCATCCGAGCCTCTGCTTTGCAAGTTCAAAACCAAGACTTTACCCATTTACCCTAAGTTGGTATTTCATAGCAGTAGAGGTAAACACACTCAAAGAGGCCAATGAATATATTAATTCTGGAGGCAATTAGCCCCATTCCTTCTCCAAGCCTCCTTCCCTATGATGAAGACATCTTCTTGCCAACATTAATATCAGACTAGGGAATGGGGAGTTGAAGCTAGAGGGATCAGATGCTCCTGTGAGCTATTTCAGCCAGTATGTGAGAAATTGAAGAATTGCCCCAATCTAGGGATGGGAGGCCTTCTTTGTGAAACCCAGAGTCTCAGACACTGGGGCAGTGCTGGATTAACCATGGCAAAGCAATCCTTAGTGGTCTGTGAGGATAGGTGCTGGGTCTGTTTTGTTCACTGTTGTATCTCCAGTCCCCCAGAGTGTGCCTGACTCAAAGTAAGTGCTCAGAAAACAGCTTTGGAATGAGAGAAGAAATGAATAGTTCCTGTTTTGAAAGTCCCCATATGTAATCTTAAAATGTACAATTTTCTCTTACATAATTTAGATTGCAGATGACTTTTGGTATGACCCCAATCAGATCATCAGTACCCTCATAAATTCTGGGGTAGTTATTGGGAAGTACCTGATTCAGAGACCCTGTGTGAACTGTTACACCTTGGTTTCTAAAGATGCCATTCTCCAACTCCCTTTCAGATGCAGGGTAAGCCCTAAATCCTGGCTACACTAATGCCAGGGAGTCTTTCTCTGAATGCCACAAAGTTCTCTAACTCAGAAAAGATTCCTGAAGAGACCAAAAAGCAGTAGAAAATAGAAAGACTCCTGAATCAAGAGTGGGAATGGTGATCACCATACATTCTTCCACAAGAAGGAACCCAGTCTACCCTTTGTGCCAATGAAGGCAAGAAAAGAAGAATCACACATTTTTCATTGCTGTGGTCAGAAAATGTTCTAAAGTCCCTGGCCTCCTATGTTGAACTTGCAACCATTAAACCCAATAACCATAAATCAGAAAGCAAATAGTTCAAGGGAGAAAATATTGGGTTGATCTGTGTTACAGCTATTTGGAACTCAGAACGTCTTCCTTAACAGATATTACTTATGGGAGTTAGTTATGAGGAAATAAGAAAAGAATGAATTTTTTTAAATCCAAAAAAAATTTTTTGTTTCAACCAAAAAGACTGATCAGAAATACAAAACCTAACTTAGATGAAACCACGTTTAGTTTTGAGGGAAACTGCCTCTAATAATGCCCTTTAATTAGGAATTCACCTACTGCACCAAAATATAAATATTCCCCAGATAAAATTACTGGTATTTCATGGTTCTCATTTGAACTGAAGGTCATTCCAGTAAATGCTATTAGAAGAGCCACAGTGAGTCAGCATGCCAGGGGCAGATTTATCTCTGCTCCATGACATTGATTTCTGTTCATCCTGAAATTCACCAAAGAATATTCACCCTCACATGAAAGAAAGAAACTGTGCTCTTCATTCCTTGAAGTTTTCCAATGTTTTATAGGAAAATGTTGCATTTTAGGAGGCTCTGCTTCTCTTTTAACTTGAGCTTGGTGGTTCATTATGTGGTTTACCCTGGAGCTCTGTCCTCAGCAGAGAGGGAGATGAGGATAAGGAAAAACTGAGGATATGAAGACGCGCTAAGAAGAACAAAATGAGAAGCCTGAGAAGACAGCAAGGAGCAGGAGGGGAGGGTACTGACTGAATTATCTTCTCCCTGTTCGTAAAAGCAACCTTGTTATAAGGCTTCTTTGGAGTAGGATTTTAATAGCTAACTCGGTTCCTTCTGAATCCGTGTTATAGCTGGAGACTTTGAGACAAAAGTAAATGTTCTAATGGCTTAAAATAATCGTCCTAATATATATGTGGTTGTACTTGTTTTGCATCTTTAGGTATTTGGCAAGTAATGTTTGAGTCTTAAATTCTGGATATTGGCAGGAATAGAAGGGTCTTTTATATGTATCTGGCAGATTGAGTGATACGGTCTTAAAGAAATGGATGTCCTGCCTTGTCACTCCTTGGGTCAGTGGGAGGGTCAAGAAGAGATGCTTGGTAGATAGCAGACTGCAGAGCTATTCTGGATGACCTGGCTCCCATTTATTTTACAAACCTCAATTCTTCCTATCCTGTTATAAAAAGTAACCTGTCAGCCCATGGTATGGGCTGAGTCCTATGGGTGACAAGAATATATTATTTGGTGATGAGACTTGTTCACCAAATAGCCAATTGAATTCACATAATTAATTTTTCCAAAAATTCCAAAATACAACTAAGTCATACATAATGTTGAGTTTCATATTGTTTAAAATGTCCTGAGTGAGCATGGGTACACATCACTTTTTTACATTTGTTTTAAAAAGAAGCTCTTGATAAAAAACCAACAGTTGGTTCTGCTCCTTACTTGCATACATTAAAGTGCATGTGGCTTCCATTTAGGAAAGATAGGTCATTCTTCTAAGTGCTCACTACTAAGGTGACTTTCTGAAAAGCTGGAATGAGTACAATGACTTGAGCCCCAGAGCAGCTGCTGGCCTGTTGGGGTTATCTCTGTCCTCGTGGCCCATTGAAAGGAAGGAAATGCATTGGAGATATGACTTAGCAGTTCTCTTCCCAGCCCTCAGAGCTAATGTGTCTCCTGATAGCATTCTAACTGGAGTGCTAGAATTTGTTTCTAACTTTCTCTGGGGGAAGTTGTCCTTAGACTATGCCTTGATTTTTTAAAATTTTGTTTTATGTTCGTAGATCAGATAAACTGGATATACTCATTCTTAGCTAAGTAAATACAAAAATGCTTATTCTTAGCTAAGCAAATATACAAATTCATCTTGTCCATCCTCTGAAATGGCACCATATTGGAGATCAGGCTAAAAAAACTATGACCTTTCATAAGCAGATATGTTCATAACAATGTAACTGATGAGGTTGGTCATCTTTCAAAAAGAACCTATTTTATCTTTTTAAAAATTTGTTCTTTTTAGATAAACATGACAGTAGAATGTATTTTGACATATTATACATACATGGAGTATAACTTATTCTAATTAGGATCCCATTCTTATGGATGTACATAATGTGGAGTTTCACTGGTCATGTATTCGTATATGAACATAGGAAAGTTATGTCCAATTCATTCCACTATCTAAAAAGAACCTATTTTAAAATTGAAACTCAAGACAGTATTTTTTTATGGATAAGAAGATAATAGAAATGTTTTGTATATTTATGGTGGTGATGGTTATACAACTCTGTATTTGTCAAAGCTCACACAACTCAAATAAGGAATTATACTGAATGTAAATTTAAAATATAAAAGAAATATACCCCAAAATGCTACTCTGCACATAATTACTAAAAGAGTAACTAAGAAATTTGTGAAATGTTCAACAATAGCCAAGATGACAAGACTCCTGTAACCAGTTCATATCTGTGGAACACGTCCAATAATGTGTATATGGTATATAAAGAGGGGTATGGAGGGGTTATAGGAATTTGATGGTATGAATTCCTATTCATTTCAATGGGGAGAGTTTAAATACGACAGATATCAGCATTGTGTGTGTGTGTGTGTGTGTGTGTGTGTGTGTACTCTATTCAGCAAGAGTAGTGTGGGATGTTGTATTAACTCTTTGGGTCTTCTAATATTTGTCCCTGATTGCAAGCTCAGTAAACAATCTCCTATAATCACTCCACCATTCTTTGAATTGTAAAGTAGTCTGCCATTGGTAGACAAGATCATTTTGGTCATTAGAAAATATGTTCTTACCCCTTTGTAAAAAAAATAGATTGGTATGGATATTCAGGTTCATAGATGGCTCTTGGGTATCATTTCCCCTAAACCTGAATGATTGAGTTTCCTATAAAAATGGAACTCGTTTGTGAATCTTGAAACTCACAGGCCAGTGCTGAGTCCTTCCATCCACCAGGCTCTTCTCTCCTCGGGGGCTTACCTGAGCAGCCTGCCGCCTTATTTCTTTAAAACCTTGCCTTATGTAAAAATGTGGATGTGTAACCGATGGGATTCTGCAACTTGTAATTGGGGTAAAAATGGGAGTTCATAACCCACTTGAATCAAATGTATGAAAGATGATATGTCATGAGCTATGTAATGTTTTGAACAACCAATAAAAAATAAATAAAAAAAAAACTTGCCTTAGACATAGCAGCCAGACTGCTGCAAAATTCTGCAGGTGGAAAGAACCTCCCCTAGTGGGAGCTTTATGAAATCTTCAAGGTGAAACCTTCCTTTCCACCGCAGCTGGAAGCAAATCCCTCACTTCTCTGAAGTCTGTCGTGTTTCTTTGATGTTCCCCTCAT